GGAGCTTTCGCACGGCTCTGGCACGCAGGCCAGGCCCTGGCAGGGTTTACCTGAGTTGCCTTGAGCTGCCGAAGTTGACAGCTTTTCAGGCGGTGGGAGTGACTTGAAAACCAGCCCTAATACCATTGAAGCTGCCCTTCTTTAGTCTTGTAAAGCTCAGAAGTTTGTGTTCCCAGCCTAACTCTAGCAAATTGCTGCTGGTGTGATTCAGCCATAGGGGCAACAGCTGTTCCCGGTGGAAGAAATGTAGTTCTTGAAGACGGAGCTGAGCATCTAAGGAAGAACCTGTTTTTCAGACACCTTTCTGTCATATTTGACTTAAGCTCGCATGAAATGAGTGAGCTCATGTGTAAGAACTCGGCTTGTACCTGCAGTACTGCAGCTTTCTTTGTGCCCTGTCCCAGTAACTTAGCAAACTGTAAATTGCACCCTTTTTTCTCAGAGGTTTTGTCTGTGTTGGCTTGAGCTGTGGAAAAATGGACGCACTTCCAGTTGATACTGGTGTTTTAAGGAATCCTTTGGTATGGGAGCAGCTATTTTATTGCCTCACTTTCTCATATGATAGAAAAAAATTGTAAGAAATATTTCTGCCTACCTCTGGTCTTTTGCTGTTGAGTGAACAGATGCAACATGTATATGTATTACAGTAGCACGAATTGGGTTTTCCACCATCATCTTGGAGTTTTTGGGGAAGTCATGTAAATTCAGGTGAGCCGTGACATCTGTGTGGCCTACCTTGCAGGTTTTACTAGTGCAAATTTACCTAATATAGGCAAAATCTTAGACTGGTTTGGGGATTTTTATTGCTTCCTTCTTTCATCCTCTAGAGATTTTTTTTTATCACAGATTGGTTGAAATGTTGATTTCAACAGAATCTCTGTCATCTATGAAGTTAGGTGCCCAATCTGTAGAATTCATTTCAGTGTTTGTATACTCATTAGAATATCTTTTAGTGAGGTTGCTGAGATACATAGTAATTTGCAGTAGCCATATGAGACTTAAGTTGCTATTTGAAACTTTACTGTTGCTGTACACGTCAGGTTTAATTAGAAGTCTGTATATGTGTGGTTTTTATACTTGCATCGTATACCACTTTTGTAGTCACATACAATCATTTCTGTCTCAAATGAAGTACACTCGTGTCTTTTTTTATTTAATATAATGCCATATGTTCTTTTTATGCCACTTACGATTCTGTAATGCTTTGTCTGGCCCAATTATTTGTCTTTTTTCTAAAATAAATATTTGTAGTATTTTTTGGTCTCCTTTCATAGGAAGGCTTCTGAGGCCTTAGATCTTGTCGTCTTTATTTGACCATATTCTATTTCCGCTCTCTCCTTTTTGAGGTATTGTGATCAGAACTGAGTGTGATATTCCAGCTGAGAGTATGCTGGTGATACCGCTGTTGATATTGTGGAGTGCTTCTGTGGCTTCTACTCTGTTCTCTGTAATTTCTGTCATTTTTTAATAATTATTTTTATGGCCAGTGCAAGCTGAGCCATTTTCACTGAGGTGTCTTTTTCTTAAACCAGTATGTTTTTCGTAAACCGGTGACTGAACACACACTGACAAGACTTACCTTGATTTCACTTACTGCTAACTGTGAGTTTTAAACATTCACACAAGTCATCTTGGAGTTCCTGACACTCTCCAAGTATTAGCCAAACTACAAAAAGTGTTCTTATTTTGAAAAAAATGTGCAGCTCTTCTCTAGACTTCTTATAGATCATGGAACCAGGAGATAGTGTGTCCTTTCCAACATGGTCAAAAAGTAGGTAACAATACATTCTCTTTTTTTAAAGACAAACAATCAAAACAAGCCTGTACTATCTTTTCTTTATCCCATGATACTTAATTTCCGAAGTAGACCTCTGGGTGTTTCGCTAAACTTTTCATACGCTTGTGCCAGCCCTATTAGCTGCTGGGTTTGGTTGGCATTTTCTTGAAAATTACAGTTAATTATAGAGTTAAGTTTACTTTGAGATAAATGAACCTTTCATGTCCCAAATTCTGAGCATTTTATAGATGGATACAGTGTTTGTAATGTTCCAGTTCTATGGTCTGTAAGTTGATACCAGAGTGCAGTTTTTTTTTTTAGCTGTTAGCTACTTTTTTCTGTACTCTTTTAAAACAATAAACAATACATGTTTATTTGTGAAACTGCCAAGTGTATGCAATAACATCTTTAAAAATAGTTCATTACTTTTTTCATGTATCTCATTATTAGTGAAAATTACAAATTTATCTTCAAGATTTACATAATACTAGGATTTTGGGGGGATAATAATTTACTTTCTCTTTGTGTTTCCTGATAACAGATTCCTGATACCTTTCTGATACCTTTTTTTTTTTTTTTTTAATGGGGAAAGTATATGGCTATGCTTAAATAACTGTATAAGACTCTTGCTTTTTGGCTGAAACAATTTTGCATATTAAAAGTGAATTGTGAATTGTGTTTTTGTTTTGCTGAACTTGAATTGAAAGGTAAATGGCTGTGAGGATAGACCAGAGAAGAAAGCTGAGAAGTAGATGGGTATGGAGTAGAAATGCTGATCCTGAAATGTTGGAGTAGAGATTGTAATTGAACTGCCTGTGGTTAAGACTATTGAGAAGTCAACCAGAAATATCAAGAGAAGTGCCGTGGGTAAAGATTTCTGGAATTGTAGAAAGTTGGGTTTGGAAGCAGCCTTCCAAAGGAGATGCTAAAGGAGATGGTGTGAAGCATGGCAGCTCGAAAATTTTCAGCTTTCCTAAAGAATAGACTATTAAATGTTAAAATTCTATTATTGTAACTTACAGTTTCTTACCTAGGTAAATAAACAGTACTTCACTGCAGTTTTGGAATATTAGAGATGCATGATTTCTTAAAACCTTGTTTAAAAACTACCCTTTGAATATTAAGTATTTAGAAATTGTGCAGGCTAACCTTACTGTTTCTGCTTCATAGATTTTGAAGATGATGATGTGTATGGCCAATCAGTGGAAGATGATTATTGCATTTCTCCTTCAACAGGTTAGTTCAAATGATTACATATAAGCATTGTCCATTGATTCATATTCTGGTATTTATTTCTAGACTAAAACAATATTTAAAAGGTAATGAAACTTCTGAAAAGTGCCTAGAGGCCCTAATCCTGTTGAAGTTAGGTAGTGTTAGGCACTGTTGTACTTTCGGAATTCACATTAAGACAACTGGGCACATCTCAGGTGTACAAGTATATCATCTTGGATGGTCAGAATGTACTTGATAATGTAAAAATCTGGTTTATGGGAACGTGTTCATAGTCTGGAAACATTTGGGATCTCTTAAAATTGTTCGTAGCGTCTAGCTGGACTTAGCAGTTGTGATTCCGCACCTGGTAGTTGATGTCTTCTACACAACTTTTGAGTAAATGTGGTGTAAGGGGTCTTGTTGTGGGATGCAGCACTGGTCCTCACTGGCTTCTGTTCTCATGCAAGATTGTGTGGAGCTAATAAACCTTCAGGCATTTGTAATGTTGCAAAGTAGGCGTAAAAATAGCGATGCTGTGTGCTCAAGTAAGACATAATTGGAGTGTTAAGGTCCTATGTAGAACTATTAAGTTGTGTTTTCCAGTCAAATCTCTGGCAAGATTATCAGTTTAGGTTTCCCCCAGATTTGTTGGCAATGTTTGTAGGGCTGAGTAGGCCCTGAAAATAGTATGGCTGGTGTTGATGTGAAGCTGTGCTACTGCAGGTAACTAGGATGGATCTAAATCCACTATGACTGTGACATGGTCTGTGACCTCTGGCCACAGGTACTTGAGTTAATTAGCTCTTTAAAAATCTGTTCTTCCGTCATCCTGTTGATTTTTAGATAAGCGAATCTAGGTGTGTAGTATTTGTAGTCACATTCCCTGATTTAAATTCAGATTGTCTTGCATTCAACTTCAAAGTTAAATTGCTAGAATTTTTCAGACCTTTTCTAAGAATTAAGGTAACCTTGTATTTTGTGATAGAGATGTGCAACGTGTTTACTTTTTAATCAATTATAAACTGCTAAATTGCAAAACAAATGCTTGTTTATGCACGGTAATTTTCCTAAGAATTCTTTTTACATAAGCTTAATTTATAAAACAATCTGATGTAGATTGCATACCAATCTTTTAATAGGTGCTTCAGTTATGGTGATTGAATATGAAATGGTATGCATTTGGGAAACAGTTGCTAAGTCTATACTACTTAACTTCTGGATATACATATCCTTTCAGTACATATTTCAAAGCTGGGGAGAATATTACATAAGGAAATTCATTTACATTATACTTTGTACATTTCTGAGTGTATGTAATGACTGGGGCTCATGTTCAGCAAGAAGTTTTATCTATATATGCCTTAATGTATTGCTAAATCAGAGTGGAATTATGCACTTGTTTAAAGTTTTGTGTGAATACATATTTTATCTCAAGTCCTTGGAATTGTTACCAGTTGTTTGACAGTGACATACTGTACAAGCAATGTTATTTTCATGCTACTTTTTTTTACTTGTAACTGAGGTTAAAATAAAAAGTGGAATAAGTTTCTGAAGGCATTAGGCCACAGTTGGCAATTTGGTATAGAAAATACTATTTTTCAAACATAGTATATTCCTTTGTTTGAATACTGAACTTTGCAGAATTATTGCATTACATGAATACAAGGATTTTGCCCAGCCTGTGGTTTCACTGTCATGATGACTTGTTTATATTCTAGCATGAACTGCTGTGTGATGATCTGTACAGTCTTCAGGTAGTAGTCATTATACAGCAGTGTCCTGTCCCCTCTCCCTGCCCCCCCCCCCCCCCCCCCCAAACCACTGCAACAGGTCTGCATCATAACTTTTTCTCCCCTTTAGGTATGTTTTATTTTTAAAGGAGGAGAAAAGATTCTACTTTTTTTTAATACTTTGTTTTTTACCTAATGCAGCAGCTCAGTTTATCTACTCCAGACGAGACAAACCAGCATTTGCTGAGCCATTGCAAGAAGAATATGGCTATGAAGGTACAGATGATACCGCTGATTATTTTCCATCCAATCATCAGTTGACTGAAGTTGATAGAGGTAATTATAGAAAATAAATAATTCTCAGAACAATTTTGTTTATAAATTAAGGACTTACAAAAATAGTCTTAAATTAATGTTTGTTACTTGACTGACACTATTAACAATTTTGTAATCTTTTTGTAGAACAACACCCTTCATGAGCATAGCATCAGTGGTGATTCTGCAAGTTTGTAACTACCTTTTGTATACTACTTGTAACTTGGTTGCATACATTGAAATGTATTCTTACTTTCTTATTAGAAATAATGAGATTTGATACAAAATTCAGATACAAGAACAGCTGTACTGCCTCAGGCCAAGCATCCGTGTAGCTCAAGGTCTTGACTCTGCAAATGGATGCTTAGGAAAAGAGTATTAGAAGCAGAGTATTTGTAGAATGATTTTTTGCTTGCGTTACATTCCAAATTATGGCAACTAGCAGTATTTAAGAGGTTTTCAAAGTCTCACATTTCCTTGAAACAGTAGCCAGCATCTTTAGATACCTGTATCCTCTATAAACTTTCCTCACTCAGTTTTGAATTCATTAGCGTTTCCTTTCCGTTCAGTCCTGCAGCTGTGAATTCCACATTACAAGCCAAGTTTTGAGCTAAGTGGTTGGGGAAAAAATCATAGAATCATAGAATGTTTTGGGTTGGAAGGGACCCCTAGAGGTCATCTAGTCCAACCCCCGTGCAGTGAGCAGGGACACCGCTAACTAGGTCAGGTTGCTCAAAGCCCCACCCAACCTGGCCTTGAATGTTTCCAGGGATGGGGCCTCCACTACCTCTCTGGGCAACCTGTTCCAGTGTTTTACCACCCTCATTGTAAGGAATTTCTTCCTTATATCTCGTCTAAACCTACCCTGTTTTAGTTTAAAACCATTACCCCTTGTCCTGTGACAGCTGGCCCTACTAAAAAGATTTTCCCCATCTTTCCTATAGGCCCGCTTTAGGTACTGAAAGGCTGTAATCAGGTCTCCCCGCAGCCTTCTTTTCTCCAGGCTGAACAAGCCCAACTGTCTCAGCCTGTCCTCATAGGAGAGGTGCTCCAGCCCTCGGATCATTTTTGTGGCCCTCCTCTGGACCCGCTCCAACAGTTCCATGTCCTTCTTGTGCTGAGGGCTCCAGAGCTGGATGCAGTATTCTAGGTGAGATCTCACCAGAGCTGAGTAGAGGGGCAGAATCACCTCCCTCGACCTGCTGGCCACGCTTCTCCTGATGCAGCCCAGAGTACGGTTGGCCTTCTGGGCTGCCAGAGCACATTGCCGGCTCATGTCCAGCTTTTCATCCACCAGTACCCCCAAGTCCCTCGTGGCAGGGCTGCTTTCAATCCTTTCTTCCCCCAGCCTGTATTGATACAATACTTGCTTTTGTTTTTTAAACTTGCTGCCTGAAAAAGATTCACAAGTCTCTTTCCTAACCATTAGTAGTTAGCTTAGTTTGTAATGTTTGGGAAATAATCAGGGTTATTTTGAAAATGTTGATAAACTCAGAGTAAAGTGCATTGGTGAATGAATATACAGTAAAATGCATGAATGAAATTTGTTATTTAAAAAAGTTCCAGAAAATTCAGAAACAATAGATAGAATAGAAACAATCTGGATTCCATGTCACGTAAATTGGTAGAAGCTGTGCTATTGCATAGACATATGGGTAAATATGATAAAATGGGGTGTAATGTACATGTTTTTACAGCAGGAAATAATATTATAGAGGGCAATTTGGAAGAATCAGACAGTATGTGTAAATAGGTGACCTAGACAATATGGTACCCTGGCTTTTCAGAATGCTTTTAACAGACTTGATCAGTTAAGAATTGATATTGGAAAAAGAAGAAATGTAGTACTCTAGATTAAAAAAAGATGGGAAAGAAACCTAGAAATAACCATTTCTACTGTGAAAACAGCAGTGGTCCCACAAGACTTGTTATGTTTGGTATAGTGTATAGTGTTGGCCATTAATACGAGATTAGTTTGTAGTACAGAGGCAAGATTGTCCTTGTTGAGTGGAATAATAAAATGGCTAACAAGTACATTGTGCAGGGCAGCGAATGTCTGGGGAACATTTGACTTGATCAAGGGTGCTGATTTAAATAACCTGGAGAAAGTTGGAATTCTGTGGTATTGAATTCCCTTAGCAAAGTTCTTTAAATGTCACCATCTTTGAGTAGGTGTTCAAATAAAGAATCTGTAGTCATCTTCCTGTTGTTTGATTCCTGTTTTCTAAAATCTGAACTGGCAGAAACTGTGATATTCAGGAATATTTTCCTCTGTTCTATTATGATTGTATGTCTGATTAGCACCCTACTTCCAGTGAGTGGCATCCTGGTGACTTTTCAGTCTCTTGTTATGAGGCAGGTCAAGACTTAAGAATCTTACCTTGTTCAAGGCTTATACTAGTTGCTGAAATACACTTCAAAGAAAACTGGTTTTGTCAGCCAAAAAATGTATTACAGCTTTAGGAAAGTTAAAGATTGCAGGTAGTTTCAAACCTGGCATGTTGATCGATGGTTTTCAAGGCCTGAGGACCCTGAAAATGCTGTTTTACTTTGGGTGGTAGTTACAGAGTCTGTAAACACTTCAAATGTGCTGTTCCATGTTGACTTACTAAATTACTTGGGACAATGTTAAGGTTATTTATATTTCTTTTCTGCAGTTAGCAGTTAATTTTACAATGTCAAAGTATTTCAATATTGAGACTTTATAAACTAATAAATAGTAGTCAGTGATATGTTCATTATAGCAATATCTGAAATTAGTCAAATATTCTGCAGGATTTGGGGGCAAAGTTTATCATGGCAATAAGTGAGATTGAAATTAATTTCAAATGGTTTTATTTCTTACTATGATATTTTTCTCCTGTTTTTGTTAACAGATGTGTGGTGCTAGTGGTTAGGCCACTTAAGACATTTTTTTGCGCAGCTTGTAACAGTAATATGTCTCTTTTAGCCCGTCTTAATTCATGCCTTGATCAAATGAGAGAAGTTTTGGCAGAGTCTGTACCAGAGCAAACAATGGTGCAAGCAGTACTGGATAGTAAATTTGATGTACAGAAGGCTTTGGATCTTGTACTTTCACAAGGCAGTAAGCAAAATGTGAAGACCAAGAATGAGGATGCTGTGATTATAGGAAAGACGATGAAAGGTATACTTCTATTTAATTGTTTACATTGAAGATGATTCATTTCTATGTACAGTTTAATTTTGGCTTTACAAGCTGTGAAGACGCTTGCTATTGTATTAGTCATTTATTTGAAAAATTAAAACAGACCTGTGTTCTAAAAACATTGAAAGGAAACGGTAGCTTTTCTTGAGCTAGAAGTCAAAATAAAACCTTAGTGTCAGCTTAAATTCAAACTGCAACCAGTTCACAGTAAATTTCTGATTTCCAATATTTGACTTACTGAATGAATACATGTCCTAGAATTTGGACAACATCTGTAAGTTTTATGAAGTTCCATTATTTGTTTGGTGAACTGACATCTCCTATCCCCAATACTTCCCATTTTTTGGTAGTGCCTATACAGTAGCTTTCTTATTTTGATTTATGCTTAAATCTTCATAATCTTTGTTGGTATTCTTTGCTGATTCTTAAAGTTTCTTAGGTATTTCAGTAGATACCCATAACTTAATAGTAGAACATTGCATATCTTTGAATAACACTTAGTAATTAAATGCCTTTTCATGTTTCTTCTTGATTTTTTTTGTTGCTGCTGTCTACTTTAAAAAAATTGGATATTTCGTTGTGACTGCACTTCCATCTGAAAATTATTGGCTATTGTAAGGTAAGGAGACTTACTTTGTTGTCCAGAAATGTGTATTGATACAGACAGTTTCTCTTGTGCAGTAGAAAATGTTGCTGACAACACCAACAAACCCGGGTTTGGAAACTTGACAGCCAAAAGTGGTTCAGCTTGTTACTCTGTAATTGCAAATGACAAAATGCTCCTTAATGCTGAAAAGTTCAGTATACCTACATCTGAAAGGAAAAGATTGAAATCCTCTGCACTTGTTCTGTCGTCTTCTTTCAGTGATGATTTGTGTAAAGGATCATTTTGTGAACCTGTGAATAAACAGGCAGAGAATCAACTACCAGAAAGTGCTAATGCAGTAAGTTCGATTCCTGACAGTGAAGATGTTTACTTTAGCATAGGAAGTAACCCATCTGGAAATTCTTCCTTTAAGAAGTTGGAATGCAAGGAAACACAGGACTTGAAATCCTTGCTGATGCAGAATGTGGTTTGTGATTCTGTGAGCCTTGAAGACAGCATTCCTCTTGTTTCCTCAAATACTTCTGATAGTAACAGTAATGCAGATTTTTACAGTCGTCCGTGTTTAACAAGTGCTTTAGGAAAACTGGCTCTTGATAACGAAGTTAGTCATACTGTAAATAAAAAGAATGAACTTCTTGAAAATTTTTCTTCACTTGTGCAAAGTAGAAAGCAAGAAAGCCCCTCTTCAGACATGGCTGCTTTGCCAGTGTTAAGGTCTGGAAGTACATCACTGGCTGACTTACTTCAGGAGCACCAGGAAAGCAGTGCTAGCCACTGTTATTCTTTGGCTGATCTTTATACCCAGTCAACATCAAGTCTCACTGATATGAAATTGGGAACCTCGCCATTATCGCAACTAGTAAGTCAATCCCAAACTTCAGGTGGAATGCCAGAGCTAACAGGATCTTTGTCTTCTCTAGCCCTTTCTAAAGTTTCTCCACTAAAGGAAGCTGAGAATTTATCACTCTCGGATTTAATAGCAGAGACAATTGAAGTAGATAAAACTCAACAAAAGACAGACTTCCCCATGCTCAATGTAGCTGAACCTAGGCCCTCTAAAAGAACCAACATTGATTTAAGTGTCCTTGTAAAAAATGCAGATGTATCTGCAGAACAAAATGTGGTGGGACAGCCAAATATCTTAAGCCCTGAAACTAAACTTTTAAAAGAAAAACAAGGAAAATGTTCAGGTTTTGCCAAAACAAATAAAAAACCCAAAAGAGGGCTTATTCCTAAGAGGCAGGATTTGTCCCTTTCATGGATGAAGGCGCTGCGTGCAAGACCTTCAGCTTTTGCTTTAACCTTGTGTCTCCGTTATCCTCCCAAAGGTTATAAGCGGCGCACAATTGGTGTGCATAAGGCTTTCCTATACAGTAGACAAGTACAAGACGTAAAACCCAAGGAAACTGGTCCTATAATAGCTATAACACCATTTGACTTCAAATCAGCATCTCCTGATGATATTGTGAAAGCTAACCAAAAAAGAGCTTTTACAAGAGAGTAGTGAAAAGAAAAGGGTCGGGGGGAAAGAGAGAAAGAATCAGTGTTTATATCTCTGTATATTAAAGAAAATCCTAGTTATGTGGGACCTATTTATAAACCAGAGTTGTATTTTTTTATTTTTTCTAATTGACATACTACAGTTCTCACTGTTCGGTAACAAATTTGTATGTGAACTTTTAAGCTGTTGCACTGAATATCTTTATTTTTGCCTAATTTTCATTGACAGTTTAACATTTTTAACTTTTGCAAAGTCTTGAACTTTAGTATATAGATACTGCACGTACAAAATTCTGTAAACACCATTAGACTTCTTGAAACATCTCTCCAGGTATGGAAGATCCAGTTAATTGGGAAGAACACTGAATTATTATTTTGTAAAGTAATTTAGTTTTGCTATGTTGTGCATAGTTTGGGGAGCGGGAACTTCAGTTTATATTATGACTGTTTTATTAAATGTTCTTCAAGTTAGGTTTTCTGATATGTTGTTATTAAACTGCCAGTCTTATAATTGGTATTTTAAGTCAATGTCACTATTCTCTTCTATCTTTATACTGCTTACGCTATTACAACAGAAATACCTTTAGTTTTTAAAAGCCTCACTAACCTCAGGTTTTGACAGTTTTAGTTGTGATAGGACATGCATAGTTTTTGATAGGACCAAATATGTAAGGGAACAAGCAATTAAAATTGTGCCCCCCCCCCCTTTAATCAGTTGTCAAAATGTGATACTCAGAATTTTATAACAGCTATTTTGTAGATACATATATGTGTTGCATGTATTTCATGAGAAGTTTCACTAGGATTCTATGGTTTATTCTCAAGTCTTTCAGAAAAGTATTGGAATAACAATTTTTTCATCTTTAGCATGAGAGTCTTTGCTCAATGGAAAAAAAAAATTCAGGCAAAGCATAAGTGCTGTTTGTGTCTGCCTCTTGTCTGTTTTGAAGAAAGCTTCCTTTAGTAATGGAAATATATTCTTTTCTACTGTTTGCACCCATTGCTCTTACTTTGAATCTTTATATGGAAGATCAGAATCAGGACATTCTGGACTTATTTTTTTAGCTGATAATTACCAGATTCTGGTGCCCCTGTTAGTCAAATTAGTAACTGCATGTATGTTTCAACTTTCCTTTTAGTACACATTACTACTTTTAATATATTTCCAGTGTCAGTATTTTAGATCCTGGACACCAATAAGTGCAATAAAGGTACTGCTACAACTAGAAAAATATGGTTGTTCATATACTGCCATACACTTATTCATGCTAAACTTGGCAGCTAGTATGGAACAGTAGAAATAATTTTCATCTAGTTTTAATCCAATTTTTGTTGAGCATATTGCATCAAAAAGAAGACAAAAACTTCAGGTTTATTCCTGACTTCAGGTTGCACTACAGGTTTTTTTCCTACGTAAAAATAAAACATGTTCCAGTGCTCTCAGGTACAAATTTCATGTTCTGTACATTTTGCTGGTTTGTCTAGTTGATGCAGTTGTCATTTTGGACTATGAGCAGTGTGACCTCCGACCTCCTGACTGAAATTAATGTTTCTTACCCTTACTAATAAAAAGTTGTATACAATGACAGTGCTGCAGCGTTTATGTTCTAGTTGAAATGTTAATCTAGCCATCTGTATCCGTACCTATTTTGAGTGCCTTAAAGCATTGAAGTGTAAATAATACCATCCAGCGTACATGCTATGATCTGGTAAGTTCATGAGCAGGAGCACAATTGATTTATTTCTTCAGAAGACTTCCTGTAGAAGTCTGGCTGATACTGATTGTATACTGGTTGTTTTATTGATTGGTCTTAATAGCAAATTCTGCTTTTTGAACAATATGAAATGCTTTTTAGTGATCAGTTTCTCTGTAGTTACTCCAGATATTAACTTCCCACTGCTTAAAAGTCCAAGTCTGTTTTTCCCATTGAGGCAAAATGTCCTGTTTGGAGAGTTTATAATTAAAGTAATTAAAGTTCAGTTTTTCCAAAATTGTGTGTATTCTTCTAGTAGAGAAATTCTAATTGTTTTAAGTAAAATATTAGTACAAAGGTTGGCATTGTCATGCATGGTATATTGTTAGGTGGTTTTGCTTTCTTATGTTTCAAATACTCTTGAGGCCCTATTAGTGTAGGTAGAGATTTCCAGTATGTGTGGTTTTTTTACATTTTCATCAAATACCTTTGTTTTTCCCTCTAAATCTTTTCCCTTATTCTTGTTGAACTTCTGTTTGGTTTTGGTCTGTTTTCTTGTTCCCCTGGCTACTCTTTGCATAAAACTTCTTAGAATTTTAATAATTTTAGAGCCTGAACTGGACGTACACCTAAATATATGTCCTGTGGATTCCATTGGAAGTATGTACAAGTAGTAGGTGGCAATGTGTAGTACTTGGAGCTCAGTTTTGCCATAGGTTTCACGCAGACTGAACTTTGAACAGGTGACTGAAGCCAAAGGGCATCATCAGCTTTGTATGTTTATCGCGGATCTTACTGTGGGATTGATACCTTAGTAAACACCTTTGGATCTTGTTAGGTAGCTAGATTTTCATACATAAATACTTTTTCATTTTAATTTGTCTAAGTGGTGTTAGTGATCATGAAGAAGCAATATATACTGTTCAGTGTAGATAAGGAGTAGGGAAGGGATTTTTCTTCAGCTGGCAATCCTGAATCCTGAAGTGAGCCTTGAATTAGTACAAAGCTGCAGGCCGAACACTGCTGAGGTTCCTAAGTGGTGGACAAAGCTGAATTCCAATTAATTTTCAGCAGAGATTACTTATTTCTGTGCTTGGAAAATTTTAGTTTTGTTTTTGTAAACAAAAGGTAATGTGTTACTGTATTTGCTTTTTAAATGAAACAGGCATTTTAATAAT